CCCCTGTGACCCCGCGGCCCCTGCCACGGGGAGAGGCAGCCCCCCGTGCCCCGCCGGGCAAACCGACGCCGGAACCGCCGCCCTGGGATGTCCAAGCACCTGCCCACGGGGCCAGGGCTCTCGGGCCTCACGGCCGCCTCTCTCTCGTCCCCCCCCTTCGATGTCCCCAAGCTCCTGAGGGAGGAAGAGAAGGAGAAGTACGCAGACATGGCTGCGGCCCCTGCCACGGGGAGAGGCAGCCCCCCGTGCCCCGCCGGGCAAACCGACGCCGGAACCGCCGCCCTGGGATGTCCAAGCACCTGCCCACGGGGCCAGGGCTCTCGGGCCTCACGGCCGCCTCTCTCTCGTCCCCCCCCTTCGATGTCCCCAAGCTCCTGAGGGAGGAAGAGAAGGAGAAGTACGCAGACATGGCTCGAGAGTGGAGGGCCGCCCAAGGGAAGGACGCGGGGCCTTTGGAGAAGCAGGTAAAGGCCGCCCGGCGCTCGGGCTCGTTTGGCAAATGCTGGGCCCGGGGATGGGGACGCCGAGCGCGGACGGCCGGCGCTTCGGGTTGGTACAGAGGCGGGGTTCGTGTTTCTCCCGGGGTCAGCCCGCAGGCCCCGTAACTGGGGCACATGGCGCTGTCCTGTGGCTGCGAAGCCCAGGAAAACCCCACTGGAAGCCTGCAGCCACGGGAGTGGTGGCGTTTAGGGTTTGTAGTAGCTAGAAGACCTCCGAGGATGTCTTTCAACTTTTTTTTTTGTTTTTAATGATAAAAGAACCTTTTTCAGATGTTTAAAAGTAGTGTGGACCAGTCTCTCTCTTTAAGTGACACCCAGAACCATGCCAGCTGCTGTGTTTAAATTGTGACGTAACAGGACTTGCAGATGTTGGTGAATATTTGTGCGCTTCATAGGCAAGAGTTGAATAAAATGTATTAGGGTAAATTTTTGTGTAGTAGAAGGTTAAAAATGCGAAATAAAGTTTTCTTGTTGATTTGTATCAAGGAAATGCAGGGTAATCGTGGCGTTTTTTCGCTCTCGCTGTTTTTCATTCTTACAGAGTGAAATTTCATTCTTATCTTAAACTGTCAAGTTTGGATTGAAATTCAAGAGAGCTTTGCTTGTTTTAAGTTTGAGAGATTTTTGTTTCGAGGGTTTCCGTTTGAGTAGAAGCTCTAATCAGTTGAATTTGTACTTCATTATACTTGTAAGCCTTGATTTTTTTTTTCCCCTTTTACTTACTGCAATTTCTTAAGACATTTCCCTTCAAAATGTAAGCCATGTTGTTTATATACCTCATTGAGACTTGGGATTAAGGTGATCTGGTTTTTACTTTAAGTAAAAAATATCAGAGTACTTTGGTAAATGATGTTCCTTTGGACTGGCACATAATATGTGATTCAGGATTACTTTAGATTATCAGTAGTGGGCAAATGGCTTTCAGCAGTAGTTGAATTGGTTGTTTACCGCTCACCTTTTGATTCAGAATATTGATAGATTTTTGCCGTTGTCTGTTTTTTGGTGTTGGTGTCATTGACAGATTTCTGTGTATTTACTCGTTGGGTTCATTGGCCTGGAGAGGTTACTGAAGCAATCTCGGGGCTGTTTTGCAGCTATTTTGCTAAATTTAAGAGTTTAAGTATGTGGTCAATTATTCTCTTCCTCTTCAGAAACCTGTTTCCACCCCACTGAGGAAGCCACACATGCTGGTACCAAAGCAGAATGTTTCACCCCCGGATATGACAAGCTTGTCTCTGAAAAATGATCAAGGTAGAGTAATCCTAAAAGGTTTTGCTTAGGTAAATTTGGGTCCCCCAGACACTACGATACATTGGTCAGTAAACATGTGTTGCTAATTTTGATCCTACATTGCAAAGTAATTGACTACAGGTGTTCAAGTATGATGGCGCTAAGTTGTAGGAGATCAGGGAATTTGCATCTGTTGAATTAGCACTGGAGAGTATTTTTACAAAAATCTGGTCCTTTGGTTTCTACCACTTTTCACATGTTATTAAACATATCGATTTAAGTGTTTGTAGCTAGACATTTAAATACGTTTAAGTTATAAAGGTAAAGATGAATTATTGAAGTAGTTTCTTAAAAGAACATCGCTAATATGAGCCTTTGCTATTCCATTCTGGCTGATTTTGTTAATTGTGTTCTGAAAACCTTTAACAGTTTTAAATGTGACTGATCCTGGTAAATAAGACCCTCCTCACACCCTCACATCCCTTTCTTCCTTTAGAGACTCTGTAGGTGGTCTTGTGTATATCGTTAAAAAGTAAAAGGCAAACTAAATTGTCTGTAGCTTATATCACAGAGTTTTTCCACACTGATTCTACTTGCCTATATTTCTCAAATGCTCATATCTGTTGAATGTGGGTCACAATTTTCCTTAAGTCATTCCAGGGATTCAGGACTTGTATATAGCTAAATTTTATAGAGTGGGCTGCCAGTTTGAATAATTTTGTTGCTTCATGCAAAGAGTACTTAACTACTTTAATCCTTGATAAGTGTAATTGTAAAAAGTTTGATTAGTTTATCCATTACGGCTGATTAGTTTTCTCTTTTCCAGCTCACGAATATAGGAACACGTGGCAAATGGTTCTAAAACTTTTGCTTTTGTAGAAAGGGTCAGTTTAAGATGCTCATCTGTTCATGTTGTCTTATGATTTTTTTCCCAGCTCTCCTTGGAGGCATTTTTTATTTTTTGAACATTTTTAGCCATGGCGAGCTGCCTCCTCATTGTGAACAGCGCTTCCTCCCTTGCGAAATAGGCTGTGTTAAATATTCTCTCCAAGAAGGTATTATGGCAGATTTCCACAGTTTTATAAATCCTGGTAAGTAGCTGGATAAAGTGTTTACTAGATCTTAAAAAGTATGTTTTTTATCTCAGCCGTATTTGATAACAGTAGTCGTTTTCTTAAAAGCTGATGCACAGCTGAGTTCTTAAAATGTAACAAGACTTCATAATAATTGGTTGAAAAACTGTTAAGAATCAGATGTTGACACAGGGTTTTTGGGTTAGACTTTCAACCTCAAGCAAGCATTAGAGTTGGGTGGCTAGACTGCCTGGAAACTTGCAGGCTGCTATTTGCTTGCCTGCGGCTTTACATGCTGGAATTTTCTAGAAGCTTTTTATGCCTTGGCCCTTCAAGAATTTCTTCACCTCAGCAGTCACTGTTTTTTAACCCGCTGCTGCTTTGAAACCTTGAGCAAAGTACTTAACCTTCCTGAACCTATTAGCTCATCTGTAGAGTGGGCTCATACCTGTTGGAGAGGTGTGGACGCGGCCTCGTCCTCAGTAGGCTCCCGGATGTTCTTGGTTATCTGTTTCCTGTGGAAAGCGATTGGTTACAAAGACGTGGGATTCCATTCAGTTCCCAAGAAGGTAGACAGTAGTTAAGGGAACACTGCACCTTTAAAGGTCAGCAGGAGATACATGTCGGGAGAAGAGTAAGGAGAAGAGGTTGGGGAAAGAAGAACATCTTTAGTTTTGTCCGTTGCTTTAAAACTCATTAAGACAGCACTTTTCCTTGTTTTTAGATGGCAGGACAGCTAATCATCCACTCACACTTATAGCAGTTGCTGCTTAGAACAAGGCAAATGCCTGTTTTTTCATATGGTCGTAAATCATTAGAAAGATAGAATTTGGAGACTTTTTCCTCTGAGAAATGCATACACCATGTACCTTGCTCTGTCAAAAGCTCCGCGAACTCATGAAGCCATCATGACCCCACCTAAGAGTCCTTTAGCCAGGTTTCCTTTACCCAGTATTTCTTTCCTTGTCAGTAATAACGTGCTTTTTAAAGAAGCTTAGACAACATACCAGATTCCTTTTGACAGTCATTATACCTTTGGTTAAAAAAACGCTGAGGGTTTAATATTCTGTGTTTTCACGTAGCAATAGCAGTTACCTACCTATGTTAGGACTCAGTCGTCCTGTGGAATGTTAATATGGGATAACCAGAGATCTTCCATATTTCTGCTTCTCTCAACAAAATATTTTGCGTTATAGGTGAAATTCCACGAGGATTTCGGTTTCATTGTCAGGCTGCAAGTAAGTATAAAGGAGTGGAGTAGATTATAGATATTGAATGTGTGCGTTCCTCATTAAGACGTACTGCTTTAAACAAACGCATAAAGCATAAGTTGGAGGGAGAATAACCTTAATTGTTGGAGAATTTTGATAGATGTGGTAGACGGCGCATATGCCCCTTAAAAACTTTAAGGTTATATAGACTTACAGGATAATGTCCCTTCTCCTTTATGGGGATTATGGTTTTATTTTCCGTATGTATCCTTTGGCCTCAAGATCAGCTGCTTTTACTGGCCAGGTACTTAAGTCTTTTAAGAGGTATCAGATTATCTAGATTTAGGGCCATTTATAGGAATATGCATTCAAAATTAAGAAAAAAATGATGCTTCAAAAAAGACAGAATGATAGCGTTAAACAAAGGAGCTCTGAATTTTTTAGATACAGAGATCAGGTTTTCATTTTAAATATTTTGCAACCACAGGATACTACTGTGTGTACATAAGTTCTTGAACTGAACTTTTCTAGAAACTAGCTTTGACTAAAATGAAAATTATCATAATAGGTTTATTTTAAAATTTACATAAAAATATTGTTTGAAAAATATTTCTTAGACTGTAGAATGTTTGAAATTAGAAATACATTTTTCAAATCTGCCTATTTTGTAATACTTATAATGCTGTTCTTTATAAGTAAATTTTTTTCGTAATACTTATAATGCTGTTCTTTGTAAGTAAATATTTTAGATTCATTTTTGGTTATATCCTTTGAGTTTTTCTATAAACAGTATGATGTGGACACCCCAAAAAACAAGCAGATCAGTAGAACAGGTTAGATACCAAAAAGACTCATGTATTATGATGATACAGGTGGTACTACATATGGAGAATAAATTAATTATTTAATAAGCGAAGCTGAGGCAACTGATTATCCACAGGGCAAAATTGGGGTGGGGGCGGGGAGCTAAACTGAATCTCTGCCTCACACAATATACGAGTCAGTTCCAGGTGGGGTAAAGACTTGGATATAAAAAATAACACTGAAGACTAGAAGAAATGAAGACTATCTTCATGATCTTTGTGCATTCATGTCGAAGGCAGAGTTATTTTGTTCTTGAGGTTATTTTGTTGTCCTAAGGAATGTGTTTTCAGTCTTTAGATCTATATCTGGTTCTTTTTTGTGGTTCTGCTGAAAGTATCAGTATTTTTTATTTCCCTGAACATAACAAGCCTTGTTATTTTGAAGTCTCATGTCTGGTAACTGATACAAGGATTTTCTTCTTGGGTCTATTTTTATAGTCTGTAGGTTATCTTGATGTCTAGTTAAATTATCAGATCTCTTCATGTGTCTATTTATATGAGTGCAGAGCAGCTCATATAAACACTTGTATATCTCTCCAAAGAAGACGTTGCTCTTGGCAGAAAGCTGGAGTCGCTAGCCATCTCAGATGGCCTTAATCCAGTTTATCTGTTTCTAGTTGATCTTTACCGAAAATGGGAGGAAAGTGGACAGATTACCATCAAAAGATCATCAGTAAAATTTATAATTGACTGCGCAGCATAAACAGTGGAAGCCAGAAGACAATTGAATATTTTTCATTACAAACTTTTTATACATACAGTATTCCTGGAATAATATTTTCAGTTCATACTAGCTCTGAGTCTTTTGAAGCCTGCTCTGTTTCTTAGCCTCTCCATCTCCTCCTCTAGAATTGGGAGATGCCCAAGTTATCAGTGAACCCAGCGTCAGATTCAGATTTCAGCGTCAGATTTCTTCCTTTTCAAGATTTTGGACCCATATTTTCTCACTGCATTTTTATCTCTTCAGAGCTTTCAAGCAGGTGTTTATTTGTTCAGCTTTTCCCTAGTCTGTCATCAGAAGCTGAGCTCTTCCTGTATCCTTTATATAGTTTCCAATTTTATGCGGAAATTTATAACTTGATTTCTTTAAATATAAGCATGATTGTTTAAAATCTGTGTCCAATAACTTTAGCATCTGGAGTATTTTTGGATCTCTTTCTACCAGCTTTGTTTTGGGTCTCATTCTTTTTTCTTTATGTACCTGATTATTCATAGAGTGTTTGGGAAAAAATGTTTTCAAAATAATTTGCAGCGTATAACAATGATCCTTTCCTCCACAGAGGATTTCTGTTTGCTTTTTCTAGACACCTGGGGCCTAGCACAACAGGTCTCAAAAGCTGTCAGAAGCACACTTCTCAGCCAGCCAGCTTCCTCCCCTAACCTGGCACCAGACTCCAGGCGGGAAGACTGCCCCCAAAGCTAGGCTCACCTCTCTGGGCCTCTTTATGCACCTGCATCCCGATCTATTAAGTCCTTGCTACGTGCTCTTGATACCCTCAAGCATTGACAATATTTGTGGGAAGCTTGGTCTGAGTTACTTGGTCCATTTTTTTGCTGGAAGTAGATCTCCTCATCATACAACCTTTTTAAAAGCAGTCATTACGATTGAGTTCTCCAGCCTTATTAGTAAAACATTCACGAAAGGCAGCACGGAGATAGTGTAAACACTATAGGCTCGGTCACTTAACAAACCTGGGTTTGAGTCCTGACTCCACCTTTCACCAACTATTAACTTACGACATTAGGCCCTCATCCGAGGGGGATCCATCCCAAGACCCCCAGTGGAGGCCTGAAAGCACGATAGTACCGAACCCTATGTACACTGTTTTCGTCTGTACATACAGGCCCATGATAAAGTTTAATTTATAAATTAGGTACAGTGAGATGAACAATAAAAAAATAGAACAATTATAATAGTTACGTGACTGTGGTCTCTCAAAATATCATGCTGTACTCAGACCCTTCATGGTTTTTTCTTTCTTTACAATTTCATGGAGAGAAGCGTCCCTATGACAGATCTTACCACAGCGTGCGAATTTCTCTTTCCTTAGGTCAAGGGCTTTTACCTTTTTACTTGAAGCACTTTATGGCTTCTCTTTGGCATATCCAAATTGCCAGCATCACTACTCTTGCATTTAGGGGCCATTATTAAGTAAAACAAGAGTGACTTGAACACAAGTACTGTGATATTGCGACTGTCTGATAACCTAGACTACTAAGTGACAAAGAGGCGGGTAATGTATACAACATGGGCACGTTGGACAAAGGGATTGTCGTGGCCTGGGTGGGATAGAGCAGGACATTGCGAGATTTCATCACACTACTCAGAATGGTGTGCAATTTAAATCTTACGAATTGTTTATTTGGGGAATTTTCCATTTAATGTTTTTGGACCACAGTTGACATGGGTAAGAAACCGTGGAAAGCATACCGCAGATAAGGTAATTAGGGTAGACTACTAACTTCTGTGATTCTCAGTTGTCTCTTCCCTAATATGCGGACGCCACCTGCCTCCTAAGATCATGGGGTAAGATATGTCAAGTAACCACAGCCAGGCTTGGCACAAGTGTGTGTTCACGTGCGAGTTTCCCACCACCCTCTTCCTGTGTTCCTGCCTCTGTACCTGCTCCGTGATGTTGGTCTTAGTCCCGCCTTCTTTTTATTTCCTTCAGGTGATTCTAGTCACAAGATTCCTATTTCGAACTTTGAATCTGGATGTGACCAAGCAACTGTGTTACAAAACCTTTATAGGTTTATTCATCCAAACCCAGGGAACTGGCCACCCATCTACTGCAAGGTGATTTCTGCTAAAGTAGTCGTGTAGATGTCAAAAGAGCCACAAAAGGCACCCAGAGAAAGAACTTTTCCCTGTGTATTAACTGTGTGTATGTATGAAAATGTCTCCATCGTGAATTGTTTTGAACATAATGAGATGTAATGCCTTCTAAATTTCTCTGATAGTGGAAAGATTTCGAAGACGGCAAAAGCCAAACGTATTTCTGCTTTGGTAGATGTCATGTTTTTATTTTCTCCTTCTAAAATATCTTCAATATTTTTTTACCCAGAAGAATACGTGTTCTAGTCTGTATACTTAGCCTAAGCAGGATTATCATTTACTCAAGAATGTTTCTACAGCGGTCCCTTAACTCTCCTTTTTTATAGTCTTCAGAGAGACTTTGTTATTTTGTCTAAATCTTTCTAGGCTAGGAGTTGAAAAATTGGATTTTAACCTCACTTTATTAGCATAACCATGAATAGATTATCTTTTTCTGAACATTGGTTTCTTCATTTGCCTACCTAAGTCTCACTTGGTTTTCATAAAGTATGTAACATCATTTATAAATGTAGCTGGTTATTAATAGCAGTAGTCTTTTCTTAATATATGTTGCTCCTTTATAGTTGTCATTCAGTTGTCACAACTCTTCAGTCTCTCCCTTCACGCCACCCCCATTTCTTACCTGCCTCCCCCCCGAGTTTGAAAAGACAGCATTAATTAAAAGTAACTCAAGGTAAGAGAAAATGCAAGTCAGCTTTTGTCTCTTCCCCAGTCTGACGACAGAGCCAGAGTTAACTGGTGTCTGAAGCACATGGCAAAGGCGTCGGGTGAGTAGAACTCGGTCCCGTTATAATGTCTGCTTTTGTTTACCCTTTGAGGGGCGTAGCCTGCATACCTAAGTTCATACGCGCTGTGTTTTCTGTTCACCAATGACAGAAATCAGGCACGATCTAGAGCTGCTCACTGTCGAAGACCTTGTTGTGGGAATCTACCAGCAAAGATTCCTCAAGGAGCCCTCGAAGACCTGGGTCCGGAGCCTCCTCGACGTGGCCATGTGGGATTATTCTAGCAACACGAGGTATTCAGAGCGGTTTTGTGATGGAGTGATTTCAACTTCTTTTCTGAACTGAAAAAATACGGTAGCGTTAATTTTTGCTTTTCTAGGCAGTATTTTCTTATAGAACCCTGGAATGATTGTATTTCCGTAAATGTAAGAATCCATTGATCGTAAGATACATCATTACTTTACCACTAAAAACAGAAAAAACTACAAATTTAAGTGACACAGTGTTTTATCACTTAAAATTTCTGAGTGATAAATTACTGGGGAAAGAATATTTTACGTTTATTTAAGACATGTTTTATTACATAGAATTCTTATAAGAAATAGGTAAGTGAAAAAAATTAGGAGTACTTTTGGAAATAATTTCAGGCTTAGAGAAAAGTTGCAAGAATAGTAGGAAAAAGTTCTACCTACCAATGTCTCAGATTTCGTCATTGTTAACATTTTAATACTTTTCTTTAATCGCTCTCTCAAGTATATATACCACTTGAGAGTAAGTCGCTGTTAGTGATGGCTTTTTACCCCTAAATATCGATATTTTCCTAAGAACAAGAACATTTTTATATTACCACAGCACGATTATCGAAACGGGATGCTGCTGCTGATACAGTGCTGTCATCTAACCTGAAGGTCATGTTCACATGCTGCTAGTTGTCCCGATAATGTCTCATAGCAAAGGGTGACGTGCCGCATCAGGCGCTCTGCACCTTCGGGCCGCCTCCTCAGCCCCACTTTGGCCTTCGTGGCTTCGCCGTTTATGAAGAACATGGCCAGCCGCTGTGCGGAACCTTCTCAGTTCGAGTGTCTCTGTTTCCTCATGACCAACTTGAGGTCGTGTCTTTTTGGCAGGAGTGACACCGCTGCGATGTCCCCTTGTTGGGTCACACCTGCAGGCATACGCCGGTCTGTCCAGTCGCTGGTAGTCGGGCCTCTTGCTTAAGGCCGCGTCTGCCAGAATTCTCCATTGAAAAGCTAACGGTTTTCACAGCATAGTTAATGTTTTGTGGGGAGATACTTTGAGATTTGGTAATATTCCTTACATTTTAATCTGCTAGTTTTAGATGATTTTTGCCCGAATCTATTATTACCACATTTGTGAAATGGGGATTTTCTAATCTGATGGTTCTTTCTACATTCGTTGGTTGGCATTCTGCTGTAGAAAAGCTTTTCCTTTAGCCCATCTATTTATTTTTTTCACTTGTTTATGTGAGTGAGGCCTCGTGGACTCCTGTCTTATTCGGTGGGCTCTAATCTGCGGCTTCCACCTCACACTCACATTGTTCCGTTTATGGCCGGCAGTCTCTGTCCTTTGGACGCGGCCTTCTCACCTGTCACGTGCCGCTTTGCCCCTGGGCTCCGTGTGTCCCAGGCTCTTTCTGCTGCAGCTCTGCCCTGGCCGCTTCTGCAGGGAGCCCCGGTTCCGTTAGGTGGAGGGGTGCGTGTGTGTAGGAGTCAGGCCCTGGGCGCCGGCGTGCTCATCCCTGCCAGGGCAGCGTGGGTGCCAGTCCCGTCGGTGGGGAGAGCGTGGAGATCGTGGGCGCACAGCCTGCGTGCACGTCCTCGGATAGCAGGTCGGGCTGCCGCCCGCGGATGTGTATGCCAGACCTGCGTGCAGCCCAGCCCCCCGCCTCAGAGGTCTCCCTTTCCACTTCTCCGTTCCGAACCTCCCTTCTCCGAGTGAAAAACTTGGCACTCGGTGTTTTACAGGTTTGCTCGGTCCCAGGATACATTAAAAGTCATTTTGGAATTATTGACACCACTGAAATAGACGTGTTAACTACAGCTCAGAATTCGCTTTCAGTTGTATTTTGGGCTGATAGTAAATAAAATAGCTTGTTCAAAAGGTATTTGGACTGTGTTATTTTTATCTCCTCCTTCAGTGTGGTTAAATTATCATCTGAAATACAGTTATGTCCATTTGCTAGTTTTATCACGTTTTGGTTTTCCCGTCCTCGTTGACTTATCATTTGAAAGCGTAATGCGTGGACACGGTTCAGACAAAAGATGTTCACAGGAATCACTCACTGCAGTGTAGTTCCATAGGAAAGCTCCTTAGATCGCATTGAATGTATCATGACCTTGGAGAGAACTGAAATCTCTTTAATGTTGAATTTCATCCAAAGACAAGAGGTGTCGTTTCATTGTTTTGATCTACTTTTGGGTCTTTCAAGTCTGCTTTGAAATTTTCCTCACACAGATTGTACTTATCCGGACTGGTGAATGTTTGCAGGGCAGTTCCGTGATAACTGTTTCTTCTAGGGAAATTGATTTTCTTAGGCTTTCTTAGCCTAAAATTGGTCTCTGTTAATGGGACCAATTTTGGTCACCTGTACTTCTCTAGGAAATTATATATTTTATATAGGTTTCCAAATTTATTTATTGGAAAGTCTGCAAAATAGTCTCTTATAATTTTAAAAATTTCTTTTAATTGTTCTGTTACCATTTCCTGCATGTTAGTGCTTATTTTTCCTAAATCAGCATAGCTTAGTTCATTGCCTATTTTGTTTGTTTTTTTTTTCAAAACAGGATTTTAATTTATTAGATCTGCTCTTTTTTTATTGTTTTCCTCATTCATTTTGACTGTTATTTTATTTTCTTGGTACTTTGTGGTTCTCTTTCTCATATTTTGGCTCAGAATTTAATTCATCATTTTTTTTATTGATAAGCATTTAGTAGAGGGAATTTTCTTCTAAACATTGCAGTTCCAATGCATCCCGTAGATTGACATACAGTGTTTTGTCACTTAAAAAATATTCTGTAGTTTCAATTCTCTTTAACCCAGGAGTTCACAGAAAGCTTTTAAATGTTCGGACAGAAAGGCCTTTCTGGGTTTGGTCAGTAAACTCTAGGGTTTTTGCACTGTGACTACAGTGCTGCCTTCCTGGGTCTTACGGTGTACAGATGAGGTCACGCAGGCAGAGGACAGAAAGACGAGGACCTGGCACAGGAGCCCTGACCAGCTGGATGCTGCACGGCCAGGCAGAGGCTGACGGCATTCGGTCGCAGCACCTCTCAGCCCGCGGTTGCTGTCACGTTGCACACATCGTCACAGCCGTCATGGCTGGCGAGGGTCGAAGGGTGAGGAAGCTGGCAGCGCGTGCAGCGCGTGCACGGTCTCGCTGGGGCACGGACGCTGTTTGCTTTCGTTCCCGGACTCTCATTCCTTCGGGCTGGGAGGATGGGCTCCCTGGCTTGACCTTTTTTGTGTCGCAGGCTTTCCCTGACTGACCGCCCTTGGTGACGGTCGTTCAGGTTTAGAAATGAGGCCGCAGAGCCCAGTAAGGGCCCCGTATCATTCAGTGGGGATAATCGACTCCTGAGGCTCTGCTGTGGGGACGGCGGACAAGGGAGCTAGACGGGGCCCTGAAGCAGAAGCCTGGGCGTGGGGTGCCGCAGGCTTCACCCCCGGCCCTGGCACCCCCTCGTGCTGCCGCCTCGTGCAAGAGCAGCTCGTGTACATGGGGTTTGCACTGAAGAAGCTCAGCCTTGAGTCTTATCCCCGCCCAGGGACATGCTGTGCAGTGGACAGCACCAGAGTCCCCACAGGCAGGTGGCGTTCTCTCGTGCAGCCTCTCCCGACCTCTGAAGGCTGTGACTACTTCTGTGAAGCGTCACCAGTTACCACTCCAGCTACTTCCTGTGTCCTGCAGATTTGTTAAAGTCTTTCATGGAGGCCTCTTCCTGTGTTCTTTTCATTCTGGACATGTGTTCTTGTTCCTTCTCATCTCGATGGGTTTGGGGAGCAGGAGGAGGTAAGTCACGCATTTCGAACTGGGAGCCCCAGCAATGGTAGATTTAAGGGGTGCAGTTTTGTATTTTGATGCTACTTCAGAATAGTTTTTTTTTTTTTTAATTCAGTTGAGTTTTTGAATCATTTATTGAATCATCTTTTGGAAAAGCAGTGGGAAAAATTGTTAATCTTGTTTTAGATAGTCTTCTACTCAGTTAAATGACTTCCATTAAGTGCAGGTAACTGGCGTTTTTACATGTCGCAGTTTAGCGCGTTGGTAAGGGGGCGAGCTCTGCCCTGCGCAGACACTGCTGTTCTGAGTGTCTCGGACTGTGCGCTCTGGGGACAGACCCGGTGGCAGTGACTCTGGCAGACACGCACGTCGCATCGCCTCTGACTCTCTGCTCACACACTTCCGAGTGTGGCCTCTCCTGCCGCCTCGCCCAAACCATCACCCCCCAGCGTTTCATGCCGTCATGCTGGTCTGTGCCGCCACCTCCTCAGAACGTGTCATCATCTTAACCATTATCCTACGTAGTAGTTTTTGAACTTCCGCACTAGAAAGTCAGTTTCGTGTGGATAAGCATGTGTGTCATTCAGTGCTGGGTCCCTCCTGCCTAGAGCAGTGCTGGTGAAGTTTGCTGGATGAGTCACTAATGTGTCTGGGACACTCATTGTACTTCAAGGTAACACTTACCTGTTACGGTTGTATGTGGTTTGCATAGCACTGTGAATTTGCAGCAAAGGAAGTAACGTAAAAATCCATTTTTTAAAAAATCTTTTTTTGAATGCGTTAAATTAGAAACCTTCATCTTCAAGTAACCGTGTCAGTTTTTCCTGAAAGATGTCGACTGGCTAAGTTAGAAGCGCGGCAAATAGAAACTTTTAAACTGCACTACTTTGGTTAGACCTAGATATTAAAGTCCTTTTTTCATACAGGTGCAAGTGGCATGAAGAAAACGATATTCTCTTCTGCGCTCTGGCCGTTTGCAAGAAGATCGCGTAAGTGAGAGCGCGGAGTCCCCATAAAGCCCCGTTCGCCATCGAGGCCGTCGCCATTTTGCTTGCCGTTGCTTTGGCGATTGGGGTGAATCACTGTTCACCTCTCTTCTCACAATTCCCTTTTAAAACACAGTGGGTTTTTTTCCCCCATGTTACTTCTGTTACTCTTCCCACGTCAGTACCTGTCTGGCATAGTCACCACCTGCGTGATTTGGGCGAACCTTCAGGAAATTTAGTGACGTTTCCCTCCCAGCCTGCCCCGGAGCGTGAAACGCGCTGCTGTCATTAAAGGCGGCGCTTCTTGTGAAGACGCTCAAAGCCCCTAGACCCTTTTCTACCCTGCTTGTCGTGAAAGCACCTGGAGCCTCGGACCTCTGGGTGCCCTGGTGGCCCCTCGGCAGGGCTGGCGATAGTTGGCTCCGAGGGTAGAGAAGCCTCACTCTGGTGCTGCCTTAAACTTTTGAGAATTGTGGTGATCTTTATTCTCATATGTAGTCCCTTACGATGAACTTGAAATTGTATCTGGTAATCAGAGTATTGAGAGTTAAAAAGATATAAGAATACTGGAGTAAAAATAGCAAGAGTGACCAGTTTTATATGTCTTGCTGCCTTTACTGTTTCTTCTCAGCAGCTCTAAATTTCTTTTTCCCGAGTCTTAAGCAGTAGCTCTCACACGCTGTTTACGTGAACGCTTTAGAGGATGAATGCTTTCAGAGTGGACTGGATGGGATTCTGGTAAGGGGCCTCTCTGCCTTCCTTTCGAAGGTATTGCATCAGTAACTCCCTGGCCACTCACTTTGGAATCCAGCTCACAGAGGCCCACGTGCCGCTCCAGGACTACGAAGCCAGCAGCAGTGTGACACCCAAGATGGTCGTGTTGGATGCCGGGCGTTATCAGGTGCGGAGCTAACGTCGGGAGCTCCTGGTCTCTTATGTCCCAGGCAGTGGTCCCGGCCCACGGCAGCCGGGTGCTCTCTCCCCGCTTAAACAGTTTTTCAAAAATCCTTCATGGAACGTCAAACAGTGTTTCATCCAGGTGCATCTTGCGTAAAACCCTTTTCCTTCCTGCTATATTTTCTCACTCTATTTAACAGAGTTTTAAGAAAATTAAAGTTGACAATTAGTCTTTATACAAAAAAATGCACAAACATGTTTTCCAAAACGTAAATATCTGAATGTAGATGATATAACTAAAATGTCTACTCCAAAAATGTGTAAGATACAGTTCGGGGTTTGATTAAAAGCTGTCTAACCTCCCCACTACCCACGCTCCCCGTTGTTGCTCACTCAGGGGCCCCCGCACCGGGCACAGTGGCCAGGAGTGCGCTCAGGCTGGCGTTGTTCATGTGCGCTGCCACATCCTCTGCCGCATCCAGGCCATGTCCCTACCGAGACACCCCCTGCAGCATCCCCATCAGAAGTCGATCAGACACTGGAAAATGGGTGTTTGTATTTTTCAGAGAGTAACTCGAAATTGTAGTAGATGATCCAGTCATTGATGAGAACTGAGCATTTTTGTGGTTTTGTTTTGTTTTGTTTTTTTCCTCATTTTAGAAGCTAAGGTTTGAAAGCCCAGGATTCTCTCATTTCAACTCTTCTAATCAGGAACAAAGATCAAACACACCCACTGGTGAGCATCTTGTGTTTTATAAGAATGCACAGCCGGGTACATGGGGGTCCCAGGGCGTGGCGCTTACACGCCGCTGCACACTAGCTTCAGGGTGTCAGGGTCTCATTGCTTAGGTAGTTTTATTTGCTGATAGCGCCTTAAATGATTTGTATATGTACATTTTTGTATCGCTTTGATACAGTTTAACTGATTTTTCAGACTTGTTTAGGGCGCTTAAAATAAAACCTGTTTTTCTTGTAGCAGCTACAGTTTTATAGCTTTGACGTGCTGATGTCTTTGGGGAGGTGGGAAACTTTAAAAGCTGGTGACACGCCATTTGGGTGGCGCCCATTAGGTTTCAGGGCTGAGAACAGCCGGGCTCCTGCTCGGCCGGGGTCGGAGCGTGACTCGGAGGCGCTGTCCCGTTCTCCCTTTCATCACAGCTTGGTGGCGGCCCGCAGCAGGACGCGAGTCCACCGAGGGGGCTCCTTGTGACAGAACGATCGAGGGGCTACATTTCTGTTCTCGTATTTTCCATCTCTCAGGCGACTACCCGTCCGGGGTGAAGGGCCCCGGCGCCAGCCGCGGCGTTCGGGGAAGAGGCATCACTCGGCTGCTGGAGGGCGTCTCCCGTCCGCCCCGCGGGCCCCACGGCTTCTCCGGCTGCGAGGCCGCGCTCCCGCCGTACACGTCGCAAAAAGATGAGTGCAAATCTTTCTCTTCCTTATCGTGATGATGGTGCTTTTTCCAGTTTCTGGAAAAATAACAGGCCCAACTTCCCTTCTGACTACACTCTCGTTAAACCGATCACATCAATGATAAATGCCACTACTGTAAAAGCTGCTTAATTTGTTCATAGATTAAAAATAATTGTGGTTGGAGAAGATTTTGGCTTTTTTTTTCCTTTTCCTTTTTTTTGCTTATTTCTTGAGGGCTCATTCTACTTCCTGACTGTATAATGAGAATGCCTTTAAAGTTTCGAGTCGTTTAAGAACAAAACTGACATTTTCAGAGTTTGCTTCTGGGAATGTTATATTTTGATGATCTTTTCCTCCATAATAAAGGTGTGGAATATCTGTTATGAAAGGTTTTAAAACAGTGTTAATCTTTTTTTCCCATTATGCCACGTAGAACCTTTCTTTTGAAATCTGTGGGCTATTTTCATTGCAAATATCTAAGAAAATTAGGCTTTAACAAAAATAAAGTTTTGTTACTTCAAGTCTCTGAAATATGCTGACTTTGGCAAAAGGAGTCGTTTGAAGGCTGAGAAGCCAAACTGAGATTATGTAATTTCCCCCAGTCACATGGCTAGATAGTAACCAGATTCCAGGTCCACTTGACCGTGAGGCTCTTCACATACACGTGGCAGATGTCACGTTGAGTCAGGTCCTTCCTTGTCCTGTTTGTGACTGATGTACACTGGCTCATGGTCTCTGCCTGGGCTCTACATAACCCTGGAGGGGGAAGAGGGATATAGTGGCCCTTTTAACTTGGGACTACAGCTAAGACCGCACGTGTCAGTGGCAGAGACGGAATTCTAATTTAGGTCTATTTGACCCCAAATCCTGGTCCCTCTTATTATAGAGATTCACTCAGTGTCCGTCGTGGACTCTGGTTTTTCTTAATGTAACATTCTCTTTTGCTAACTACGGAGAACCTATTTTATGTATCTTGTGGAATCCTCATACCCACTCTGAGGAAGGCGACACCTCCACTTTACACACACACACGGCATGCACGCACGCACGCGACTCATGTCACTCAGCTCCTGACGGGGGGATGGGAACCAGGTCTGTCTGACGCGAGAGGCTCGTTCCTCCTCCACTCTGCTGCCTCCTCATGTTTCCAACATCAGATCTTCGGACAAGAAACAATTCATAGAAGGTAACTATGTATTGCATTTTTAATAGATTTTTTAAAAATCGTATTCAAGTTTTGAAACCCCTTTTATCTCTCTTCAAAATCATCATGACAGTAATCGGGTTGAAGAGAGAAAAATATACCTTTAAATACTTATATTAGCAGGAAAGAGGGTCCAAAAGAAGTAACTAAATAGAAATTTTAAGAAGAACAAAGATTGGAAACTAACATAATGTGTGCTAACTATACCTTAGTATAAAAAATTTAAGTTAGAAAAAGAACAATAAATAAACCATGAAAAGTAGAAGGAAGGAGGAGAAAAGGAGTTAATATCGATGAAATAGAAAAAGAACGAAAGGGTTTTTAACGAAACCCAAGCTGACTCTTCGAAAGACTATAGAATAGATAAAAACTCCGAAGAAATGAAGCAAGTGAAAAAGAAAGAAGGGACAAACCTTACTAGAGATTAAAAGGGGCGTCGATCCAGACCTGCACAGGTGAGAGATGCAGGAATACTGTGACCCTTCACACCAACAAGTTTGAAAACTCAGATGAACTAGAAGCAAATTCCTAGGAAAATAGAATTTACCGGAAGTGCCTGAAGGAGGAATAGAAAGCCCGTGTCTCCTGCAGTAGAGAGATTGAAGCTTTAATTTTCAAATGCCCAGGCCACATGGTTTAACAGGTAAATTCTTCTAAACTTTCAAGGAATATCTCATTCCAATATATAAAAATATAGGCTGTATCCAAACTGCGTTTATTCAAGAGAGCAAAAATGATATAGCATTAGAAAATCTATAAATGTCATTTGTCACATTAATTCAAGGGAGAAAAGCATGTTATCATTAGAACGGATGGGGGAAGAAGCATTTGGCAAAATTCACCACCCATTTGTAATTAAAAAAATAATCCAAGCAAACTAGAAATAGAATTGGAACTTCCTAAGCCTGATGGGAATCATCTACAAAAATTCTACAGCAAATATTATTCTTAATGGGGAAACTTTAAAAGCATTTTCTTTAAAATCAGGAACAAGACAAAAAATGCCCTGTTAACTGCTTTTAGTCAACATTGCACTGGAATTCTTAGCAAGTATAACATAAGAAAGTATAAAACAAGGTTAGG